TCCAAAGGCTCTGAGTTCAATTCCCAGCAACCATATGGTGGCTCACAGTCATCTATAATAAGATTTGGTGCCCTCTTCTGGTATGCAAGCATACATGGAAAGAATGTTGTATACATAATAAATATTAATCTTAAAAAAGATAAAAAGTTGAAATTATAACACATTTGCTATTCAACTGTGCTTTGTAGATTTTTGTGTTCTTGTCAACTTGCCACAACTGGACTGTTTGTTTATTTCACTCCTACTCCAAATGTTATAGCTCTTCTTCTTCTCCTGCTTCTCCTCCTCGTCCTCCTCGTCCTCCTCTTCTTCTTGCTTTTAGGAATGGCAGAATGATTATTTTCTAGTTGCACTAGTCAAGTCTTCATTCAAATAATACTATTATTGAGTTACTTTGGTAGAGAACCATAGAGAAAAAAAATGGCTTAACTTGTATTTCAGTGATGTTTAAAGTATTCAGTATAAGTTGCCTTTTTTTTTTTTTTTTGTGGTACTGGGGATCAAAGCTAGCACACGCTGGCCCTTACCACCAGGTTGTATTCTGTTTCTTCAAGATCATAGTGGTAGATTCATTTACCAACAGTTCACAAAAATTCTAACATAATCAAAATTTGAAGAGAAAAAAGATAATGAAACAACAGAAACAATCAGCTACAATAAATAATATCAAAATTGTAAAAAATAAAAAAGGAAAGTGACTAAGATACATAACTGTTTTCTATATTTCTTTTTTTTTTTTTAAGTCCTGAGCTGGATTACACCATGCCCAGTTTAAAATCTTTTTCTTCTTTTTAAATTAAAAGAATATTTTATGAATGTACATTTGTACCTGAGTGTGTATATTGTAAGTTCACTACATGTTACCTGTAGAGGCCAGAAGAGTGCATTGTAGCCCCAGGAATTGGAGTTATGGGAAGTTGTGAGCTTCCAGATGTATGTGCTGGGAATTTAACTCTGTTCCCCTGCAAGAGTAGTAAGTACTCTTAACTACTAAACCACCTTTCCAGCCCCAAATTCTTTCCTTTTTAAGGTTGATATTTACTGAACCTCACCAGTTTTGGTATGTTTTGTTTTTGTTTCTGTTAGCTTACAGGGTTTCCTTATTTCCCTTGAATTTTTTTTTCTAATTGTATTTCAACACAGGGGTTCTCTGTGTAGCCCTGGTTGTCCTGGAACTCTGTAGACCAGCCTGGCCTTGAAATCAGAGATCTGCCAACTTCTGCCTCCAGAATGCTAGTATTAAAGGCATGCACCACCACTGCCTGGCTAAGAATGTGTATTCTTTTGTTGAAGTGTTGTTTAGTAACCATTAGATTCAGTTGGCTTATATAGTATTCATTCAATATATAAAATTCCGGGAGATTATAATATTTGTTCTCTTTATGACCTTTATTTCTTGAATAGTGTTAGAATATTTAGTGATATAAGACCACAGTTGTTTCTGATAGTTTTAAGTTTAATCAGAAAGGTTTAGGAACCTGAATAGTAATTAAGAGTGGGTTTCATTGGCCTAAAACCCATCAATAATATGAAGGCAGAGGAAGAGGTGACAAATGTTAGCAACCAAGGATTCTCTTTTAAGGTGATAATAATTCCTTCTTCTTCTTCTTTCTTCTTTCTTCTTCCTCCTCCTCCTTGACAGGGTTTCTCCGTAGCTTTGGAGCTTGTCCTGGAACTAGCTCTTGTAAACTAAGCTGGTCTCAAACTCAGAGATCCGCCTGCCTCTGCCTCCCGAGTGCTGGGATTAAAGGTGTGCGCCATCACCACCTGGCAATAATTCCTTTCTTTATAAAGAAAAACAGGTGTTTTTCCTTAATGTTTTTTGACTTATTTTAATGCTGTTTAATGTATAACATTGAGACATATTTTTTACATTTCTTGACCTTTTAGGGATTTTGTTTGTGGTGATGGGAATGCAACTTCACAAGCTTTAAGCATGATGAGATGCACTCTGTGATTTCCATCACAGGCTCATCTTTTGGAATTTGAATTTAGGAAATTGGTAGTTAACAAGCCCCTTAGGCTCTAAATAGCTTTGTATTTTGGTAGTACCATAATTCAAGAGGCCTAGTTGAAACTTGATTGTTAATATAACATTTATTAATCTGTCCAAATGTGCTAAAGGTTTTTTTCTTTGGTTTTATCCTCCGACTGCTTTTGATATTCATTAGAGGAAGATTCAAATAATTTGTCAGTTTTATAGAGTGCTAGGCACTAGGGAAACCAAATATATCACAACAGTATTTCTTTTTTTTTTCCCTTCTTTTTTTTCAATGGTTTTTCAAGAGAGGGTTTCTCTGTGTAGCTCTGGCTATCTTGGAACTCCCTCTGTAGACCAGGTTCTCCTCAAACTCATAGAGATTCATCTGCCTCTGTCTCGTGAATGCTGGGATTAAAGCTGTGCACCACTGCCCAATTTGGAAATAGTGTTTCTTTGTATTACTGTAGGTTATATCTTAGCTACATTAGATAGTAATACACATACGAAACAACAAGCCATCAGGGCGATGGCTCAGTGGGTAAGTAGCATGTACTGCCAAGCCTGACACTTTAAGATTAATCTCTGGAACCCACACAATAGGAGGGAACTGACTCCCATCAATTCTACTCTAACTCCCACATATATACCATGACATACCTGTGCAATAGAACTCAAGAGCACAGACAACACCAAAACAAAACAACAGGCCGTACCCAGGGTTTCACTTCTGTGGAGGTGTTCTTGATGCTAAGATCTGCATCTTTGACTTGGGGCAGAAGAAGGCAAAAGTTGACGAATTTTCACTTTGTGACCATATGGTGTCAGATGAGCAATTCTCTTAAGTCCTGGAGACTGCCTGTATTTGTGCCAAGACGTGAAACTCCACCCTTTCTATGTCATCCCAATCCACTAGATGTTGTCCTGTGCTGGGGCTGATATGCTCCAAACAGGTATATGTGGTGCCTTTGTGAAGCCCCAGAGCACAGTGACACCAAGGTTCACATTGGCCAGGCTGTCATGTCCATTCATACCAAGCTGCAAAATAAGGAACATGTAATTGAGGCTCTGAGTAGAGAGCCAGGTTCCCTGGCTGCCAGAAGATCCACATCCCACAGAAGTGAGGCTTCAAGTTTAATGCAGATGAGCTTGAAGACATGGTCACTGAGAAGCAGCTCATTCCTGATGTCTGTGGGGTCAAATACATCCTCATTTGTGGTTCTCTGGACAAGTGTTGAGCCCTGTGTTCAGTAAGAAATCTCACATTTAGTCTGGAAAAAAAACCAACTTGAATACATATTTCAAACACTTAGAATCTCTATCTCTCTGTCCATTATTGTTGTGAATGTTTTGCCTGTGTGTATGTATGTACATTCTGTGCATGTTTGGTGCCTGGGGAGGCCATAGAGGGTGCCAGATCCCCTGAGCTGGAATTAGGGACATTTGTGAAACATCATGTGGGAATCTTGGACCTCTGTAAGAACAGCAAGTGTTCTTAACTACAGAGCCTTCTCTCCAATACATTCCCAAGAATGTGTTGGTTCTACTGCTCATCTTAAATGATGTGCTTTTTTGGGTCTGATTGACCTTTGTTTTGTTTTTTGTTTTGTTTTGTTTTGTTTTTCAAGATAGGGTTCTCTGTGTAACCTTGGTTGTCATGCTCTGGAGACCAGGTTGGTCTCAAATTCAGAGATCTGCCTGCTTCTGTCTCCATATGCTAGGATTAAAGGTGTGTGTTACCATTGCCCACCTTGATTTATATTTCCTTATTTGTTTTAAAATACGTTCCACAAATACATACTAATTTCCCTCTTTGGTTAGTCTGTCTCTGTGTTTGTCTCTCTTCCTCTTTGGAACATAACCAAGATAGAGGTATAATCTATATTCAGCTTCAGGAAAAGGAGCAGCAGTGGTCCTGATAACACTTACTTAGCATTTTACAGCTTCTTTTATTTATTGTTTATGCAGAGAAAAATCTCTGCTGTTATAAATAAGCCATTCCTCTTGACAATATAGTACTAGTGACAATATAGTATTGTCATGATTGCAGAAATAACATTCCCATTTTTTCCCTTTCACTCCAGATACTTTTTCCTTTTTTTTAATATTTATTTATTTATTATGTATATTTTGTCAGTGTGTATGCCTGCAGACCAGAAGAGGGCACCAGACCTCATTACAGATGGTTGTGAGCCACCATGTGATTGCCGGGAATTGAACTCAGGCCCTTTGGAAGAGCAGGCGATGCTCTTAACCGCTGAGCCGTCTCTCCAGCCCCTACTTTTTCCTTTTTAATAGTTTTTAGTTACACTTACTAACACATGTTAATTTTAGATTCTATCACTAAAGCCTTAGTTTGTCACTTATCGAGGCATTAATTGAAAATATTAATATATTTAGGGCAGAAATGTCGTTTTTTAGGGAATCTAGAACAACAGCAAAGCTGAGGTCAGACTGCAGTAACGATGGACATCAAGGAAGCTGTGTTTGGGACAAAAAGAAATCAAGATAAGGTAGATGCAAAGTAGAGAAAAGACCTGGACATGGGGTCTGGGTGGTAGATGGAAGTGGGTTATATGCCACCAATGAAATTGTCAGCTAGCATTGTGAACAGGGAACACTGAAAAATGAGTTTACGTCGTCCTTTCCCTTTGAATATACAAATTTTAACTGACTTTCAGGTAGCAGAGCACTTGAAATTCTTGTGTTTGGGGCAGTGGAGTAGAAGAATGTTGCCATAATGTATGAGGCTCTGTTTAATTCCCAGGGAAAAAAAAAGTTGTTTTGGTTGAGTAGTGGTTTCTCATATTCTAGCTAATGTTTTCTTTCTGGGTGGCTATGGAAGATGGTGATGCTGTTAGTTGCTAAAATCAGTGCTGGAATCCAGCTTCAGCACAAATGTCTGGTAAATGCCCAGCAGTAGAAAGAAGTTGAAATCTACATTTGGAGTGTTGTGTTGACAGTCAGTACAGACTATGACATTTTTATTTTTGTGATGTAAAAATTGTACTTCTCCTCATAGCAACATGAACCGTGAAGACCGGAATGTGCTGCGCATGAAAGAACGGGAAAGGCGGAATCAGGAAATTCAGCAGGGTGAAGACGCCTTCCCACCTAGCTCTCCTCTATTTGCTGAGCCATATAAAGTTGTAAGTTATCTTTCTTTGAATGTTTTATTTTACCTCACTTATATGACATTTGTGCTTGTTTGTGTTTGTTTTTGTTTTTGTTTTGAGACAGGGTTTCTCTGTGTAGCTTTGGAGCCTTACTCTGTAGACCAGTATGGTCTTGAACTCAGAGAGATCTTCCTGCCTCTGCCTCCTGATTTCTGGAATTAAATTTGTGCTCCACCACCGCCCAGCTTTTAGGTTTTTTAAGATTCGTTTTTATGACTGCTTTTATGATGCGCACACTGATGGGTCTTTGTAGAGGCCGGAAGAGGATGTCTGGTGCCCTGCATCTGAAGTTACAGGCAGCTTTGAGCCATCTAACATAGGTGCTGGGAACTCAGGTCTTCTGGAAGAATAATACATTCATGTTTTTAACCACTGAGCCATCTCTTCAGCTCAGTGCCTGCTTTTCTTGAAGCATTATGGGAGGCGGAGACAGGCTGGATCACTGAGTTCAAGGCTAGGTGAGAGTACATAGAGAAATCCTGTCTCAAAAGAATATTTTTTTTGTCTTGTCAGTCAGTCTACATTACTTACTGTTTATTAGGTAGTCTGTATTCTTTGGTTATAACATCAATCAAAGATGACTTTCACAGATGCTGTGTTTCTCCCTGTTTATTCCATAAGTTCTATCGGCTAGAATGCTTGTTTCTTTCTTTTTTTTTCTCTTTTGGTTCTTTGAGACAGGGTTTCTCTGTAGCTTTGGGGCCTGTCCTAGAACTCACTCTGTGAACCAGGCTGGCCTCGAACACATAGAGATCGACCTGCCTCTGCCTCCTGAGTGCTGAATTAAAGGCGTTTGCCACCACCACCTGGCCTGGTTCTTTCTTTTTTGTAAATTTATTTATTTATTATATATACACTTTCCAGGATACAGTGCCAGATCTCATTACAGATGGTTGTGAGTCACCATGTGGTTGCTGGGAACTGAACTCAGGACATCTGGAAGGGCAGCCAGTGCTCTTAGCCTCGGAGCCATCTCTCCAGTCCATGAATAAATCTTTTTAAAAATTAAGAGAAATAAATTGGGTCAGTTACTATTTTAATTTTTTTTTAAAAAAATTGTTTATTTTGTTTTTATTTTATGTGTATGAATGCTTAGATGTCTGATCATCTGTGTACTACATGTGTGCAGTCCTAGAAGAAGTCAGAAGAGGGCATCAGATCATCTGGGGCAATAGTTACAGACAGTTGTAAACCGCCGTGTGAGTGCTGGAATTTGAACTTTAGTCCTTTGGAAGAGCAGCCAAGTGCCCTTAATCACTGAGCCCAATTGTTATTATTAATTACTATCATTGTTTTTGATTTGAGATTACAAAAAAGAACACTGAATAGTACCAATTCTCATGACTCTAAGGTCGCTTTAGTGGTGACATGTCTCTTTAGCATTTCGTTTGCCTTTGGGTTTCAATGGTTGTTAACATTTTAAAGTCTAGAATCTGTAAATCATGCTACTATTCATTTTACAATTAAAAAAAAAATGAATGAAACATGTTTTCCAATATTGATGTTTTCTGTGAACAGCCATATTTTTATCTTGATTCTTTAAGAAGATCAGACAGATTTCAAACAATACAAAGTTATCATTAGGGGCTGGAGAGATGGCTCAGAGGTTAAGAGCATTGCCTGCTCTTCCAAAGGTCCTGAGTTCAATTCCCAGCAACCACATGGTGGCTCACAACCATCTGTAATGAGGTGTGGTGCCCTCTTCTGGCCTGCAGGCATACACACAGACAGAATAGTGTATACATAATAAATAAATATTAAAAAAAAAAAACAAAGTTATCATTAATGTTTCCCAATCTCAAATAAATAGTGGTAGTTCAGGTGGGGTTTTTTGTTTTCCTTTTTATTGATTCTTTGGGAATTTCTTTTTTTTTTTTTGTTTGTTTGTTTGGTTTTTTTTTTTTGGTTTTGTTTTTGTTTTTTAAGACAGGTTTTATCTTTAGCTTTGGAGCCTGGAACTAGCTCTTGTAAACCAGGTTGGCCTACCTCCACCTCCCGAGTTCTGGGAATAAAAGTGTGCGCCACCACCACCTAGCTGGGAATTTCTTTTTTAAGTTAATGTCTCAGGGTTTTTATTGTTTTTTAAAGATTTATTTATTATGTATACAGTATTGTGTCTGCCTACAGGCCACCATGTGGTTGCTGGGAACTGAACTCAGGACCTTTAGAAGAGCAGGCAATGCTCTTAACCGCTGAGCCATCTCTCCAGCCCCTCTCAGGTTTTCTCAGGTTTTCTAGGCCTAAAACTCACTAAGTGGTCAAGGATGACCTGGAATTTGCGATCCTCCTTTGTGCTGGGGATATGTCACCAAGTCAATTTATGTGTTGTTAGGGGTTGAACACAGGGCTTCAGGCATGCCATTTAAACCCTGCAACCCGAGCTGTATCCCAGCCCTGATTATTTAGTATTGATTTCTTTTTAATGTAATCTGTAGATTTTCTTTTGTATTTTAGCATGGTTATTTTCAAATACTTTCTTGATTTCCCCCCCTCAGATACATTCAATAAATTTTTTTTCACTATGAAAAATATTTATCTGGCCAGGTGGTGGTGGCACACGCCTTTAATCCCAGCACTTGGGAGGCAGACAGGCAGATCTCTGAGTTTGAGGCCAGCCTGCCCTACAAGAGCTAGTTCCAGGACAGTCTCCAAAGCTACTGAGAAACCCTGTCTCGAAAAACCAAAAAAAAAAAAAAGAAAGAAAGAAAGAAAGAAAGAAAAAGAGAGAGAGAAATATTTATCTGGACTAAGAGTGCGTGGTAGAATCAGTGCTCACCTAGACTGTGAGAAGATCTAGTTTTATTGTTTGCTTTGTGTGTGTATTTGGTGTATATTTATAGATGTGTATTTTAAGATTAAAAAGTGAGACTTATCTTTAAAAACCCTTCTGATTGAGGGTTATAAAATGAGTTTGGAAGAATATTTTATTTCAAATTATACTAACAGTATATTTTTCTTTTCTTTTTTTTGTAGACTAGCAAAGAAGATAAGTTATCAAGTCGTATTCAGAGTATGCTTGGAAACTACGATGAGATGAAGGATTATATAGGAGACAGATCTATACCAAAGCTTGTTGCAATTCCCAAGCCTGCAGTACCAACCACAACAGACGAAAAAGCGAACCCAAATTTTTTTGAACAGAGACATGGAGGCTCTCATCAGAGCAACAAATGGACTCCTGTAGGACCCGCACCAAGCACTTCTCAGTCTCAGAAACGGTCCTCTGGCTTGCAGAGTGGACACAGTAGCCAGCGGAACAGTGCAGGTGGTAGTAGCACTAGTAGTAGTAGTCAGAGACATGACCGTGACTCATATAGCAGTAGCCGGAAGAAAGGCCAGCATGGGTCAGAGCACTCCAAATCACGATCCTCAAGCCCTGGAAAACCCCAGGCTGTTTCTTCATTAAGTTCTAGTCATTCCAGGTCTCATGGGAATGATCACCATAGCAAGGAACATCAGCGCTCCAAATCACCTCGGGACCCTGATGCCAATTGGGATTCTCCTTCCCGTGTTCCTTTTTCAAGTGGGCAGCATTCAAATCAGTCTTTCCCACCTTCTTTGATGTCCAAATCTAGTTCAATGTTACAGAAACCCACTGCCTATGTAAGGCCCATGGATGGACAGGAGTCTGTGGAACCAAAGCTGACCTCTGAGCACTACAGCAGCCAGTCTCATGGTAATAACATGACTGAGCTGAAGCCCAGCAGCAAAGCACATCTCACCAAGCTGAAAATACCTTCCCGACCTTTGGATGTAAGTCTCACACTTAGAGTGGTTAGCACTGTAGCTATATGCAGTCATTTGTAGATACTTCAGAGAATTGGAACTGTTTTTTTGCCTTAATAGTAAGAGGAAAATTAAAAAATTCATGAAATAAAGGTTTAAAGAACAATTTGGGAATTGACTTCCAAGTGGATACATAGAACTATACACTATTTTGGATAATAAAGAAAATATCATTCACAGATTTTTTAAATTAAGATGACAAGTCAAATTGTATACTAAAAGAAAGATTTATTGATTTGTTACAGTTCTTTGTGGTTTTTTTTGTTTGTTTGTTTGTTTTGTTTTTTTTTCAAGACAGGGTTTCTCTGTGGTTTTGGAGCCTGTCTTGGAACTAGCTCTTGTAGACCAGGCTGGCCTCAAATTCACAGAGATCCGCCTGCCTCTCCCAAGTGCTAGGATTAAAGGCGTGTGCCACCACCGCCTGGCTCAGTTCTTTGGTTTTATGGGATAGTATAGCTTGTTTCTTTTTATTTAAAGAGAAAATCTGGGCGGTGGTGGCACACACCTTTAGTCCCAGCACTTGGGAGGCGGAGGCAGGCAGATCTCTGAGTTCGAGGCCAGCCTGGTCTACAAGAGCTACCTAAAACTACAGTGAAACCTGTCTTGAAAAACTGGAAAAAAAAAAAAAAGAAAAAATTAGCTTGTCTATTCTTAGAGTTTTACAAATAAAGCAGGTCATGGTTTATGGTAATAAATGGTGGGACTTTGAAGTGTACAGAAGGGATAATGTTGTGTGGTTCTGATGCCTTCTCCTTTGCTCACAACTAAAGGGCTGAAACAGTCACTGTGACTGTATAAAAGTTGACGTTCAAAATAACCAAAGAGCTAAGCATTCATAGTGAAATATCTGAAAATTTATCTTCATGTACTACATTGTCAGAATATTAGATTTCAGCAAAACATTGTCATGTAGGCAAGATTTATTTATTTTATTATTTTATGAGTGTCTCACCTGCAAGTGTATCTATACACTTTGTGTGTGTCTGGTGTTTATTGATGAAGGAAGAGTGCCTCATATCACCTGGAGCTGGAGTTACGGATGTTGTGAGCAGCCATGTGATTGCTCTAGAAGAACAGCCAATGCTCTGAACCACTGAGACATTTCCCCAGCCCTGCAAAGCTTATCTTTTAATGTAGTTTATACGATAAAAACAGTTGGCTGGGTGGTGGTGGTGCATGCCTTTAATCCCAGCACTTGGGAGTCAGAGGCAGGCAGATCTCTGTGAGTTCGAGGCCTGCCTGGTCTACAAGAGCTAGTTCCAGGACAGGCTCCAAAGCTACAGAGAAACCCTGTCTCAAAAAACAAAACAAAACAAACAAACAAAAAAAACCCCACACAGTTAAAAAGACAAAAGGCATATTTCAGAGCTCAGAATAGCAGACAGAAAGAATCAAAGTTAAAGAAAATGTTTAAGAACATTTAGGAATCTTGAGCCAGCAAGGTAGCTTAGTGGGTAAAGTATAAACCTGCTAACTTGAGTTCAGTCCTGGATTCCATAGTAGAAGGAGGCAATCATTTTTTTTTTTTTTTTTTTTTTTTGGCTCAAGGGCCAAGAGCACTGACTGTTTTCCCTGAAGATCTGGGTTCAGTTCTCAGCACCCATATTGTGTCTCACAGCTGTCTCTAACTCTTTTTCCAAGGGATCAGATTCTTTCAACTAGCTTCCGTAGGTACTAGGCATATAAGTAGTGCACAGACTTATGTGTAGGCAAGCAACTATATACATAAAATAAAAATAAATAAATCTGGGGTTTAGAAAGAGGGCTCAGTGGTTAAGAACACCCAGGTTCTATTCCTAGCATCCATGCAATGGTTCACAACTCACTATAACTCCAGTTCCAGGGAACCTAGTGCCCTTTTCCGACCTTTGCAGGACAAGGCAAGCATATAACACCCATATATATGTTCAGACAAAACAGTTACATATATATAATAAAAATATTTTTGGGAATTTTGTGTAGGAAAGCTATTTCAAAAATTCTAGCTAGTGTTCTGACTTAAAATAATGTGGTCATAAATAATTCTTCAAATTTTTTGTAATTTCTTTTTATATAATTTCTAATAATGTTTTAATATGTTGTAAATGCTAACATTTTAGTATTTAGTAAATATTAAAATACTAATATTTTAGTAAGCACTAAAATTCTAACAACAAATTACTTCAAATCTAATGTCTGTTTTCTTTTTCTTAAGGCATCAGTTTCTGGTGATGTAAGCTGTGTGGATGAAATACTTAAAGTAAGTTTCTTTATAATCATCTGTTATTTAATTGTGATGCCTATATTACCAACTCTTTCATATTCTTAATTACTTCTTAACACAGGTTACTTCTATGTGGAACTTGATTATGTCATGTCCATTATTAAAAAAAAATGTTCTGTAACCAGAACTTTTCTGAGGTTCTGGTTACATGCTTTGTTTACTGTTTATGAGAAGAGGAAGAAACCAATTACAACTATATTTCCTTAGACTTATAACTTAAAGACTTAAAAATCTCAGTAGTTACCAAAGCCATGTTGATAGTAGTTTGGTTTATAATTTACTTGTACATTCTGTTCTGGTCAGGTACTACAATAAAAGCTATCCTTTGAGTATTGATCTGGAGTGTTTATTAGACACACTGAAAAGTCTACCAGGACTAACAAAAGTGCCTTCCTCTGCTGGAAAGAAGGAAGGACCAGTTAGTGAGTGAGTGACAGTGACTGCTTTTTGCTCCTAAGAGAAAAACATCAGTCACACCTGACTATTACTATTTTTTGGAAGCTACTGGATTCTTTGTCTGTACTTGAATTTTATGACATATTCTTCTGAGATTACCTGTCTAGGCCTATTTCCTATAATTTGTTCCCCCCATTTAATCTCTCATTCCTTATTTAGCTGCTACAGTCTCCCTTTATCATCTTACTGAACCTCCTTTTCTAATGTTCATCTCTTGTCTTCTGCCTGGGGTATAATGCATGTAAGAACGCCTGTTCTTAATTGCTTTACTGTCTCTGCTATTTGAGAGCTTTATATTTTTTCCTTTGGGAAACTTCATTCCTTTCTTGTTCTTGAGCTTCATTGTTTGATTCTTATCTACTTTTCTAAGAAGTATTGTTGCTTCTCTTTTTACTTCCAGGCATATTTTCTAGCCTTTCCTTTCTTTTTGCAGTCTTACTCATCTTATGTACCTTATGTACTTAGCTTTATCTGACAACTGGCAATTCAGTCCTTTCCTGCCATGACTTCCTATAGGCTATGATTTATGTCTCTTAGTTCTTTACTTTTAATGTAAATATAAAGTCCTTATTATCTCTAATTTCTTCCATATATTGTTTAATCACAAAACTAGTCTTAGACTTAAAATTTCTTTGAATATCTTCATTCTTTCCATTTATGTCAACTTCAGTAGTTTTAAAAATTCTCACTTGGGCCACGATAGCTCAGCAGGTAAAACTGCTTTTCACACCACCAGCCTAAATGACCTGAATTCAATTCTCCAGAACCCACAGCAGAGAGAACTGACTCCCAGTGTCTTCTGGCCTCCACATGACACTCTTCGACATTCCCATGTGTGCCATTGCTGCATGACCATATACCTACAGAGTAGTAGTAGGGTTTTTGTTTGTTTGATTGTTTTTGTTTTTTTGAGACAGGGTTTCTCTGTGTAGCCCTGGCTGTCCTAAAGCTCACTTTGTAGACCAGGTTGACCTCGAACTCACAGAGATCCACCTGCCTCTGCCTCCTGAGTGCTGGGATTAAAGTTGTGCTACTATGCCCAACTCACTCAGTAGTAGTGGTAATAATAATAATAAAAAACCTTAAGACAACCTTTTTTGTTTTTTGCTTTTAAAATCTCTTATCTGCCCTTTTTATATTGTTTCAAGTCTTTACTTCAGCCCCTAGCCTTCATAACTTGACGTTTTTTGCTAGAAGTTTTCAGTGGCTCTCTAAGAGAGACTGAGATCACAGAGACCACAGTTCCAAGGAAGAATTTAACATCCAGACACCCCATAGCCAGTCCTCAACACTCCTGCTTCTGACTGATCACTTTTGCCAATTTTCCTAAGCCACACTTTTCCTTCCTTCCTTCCTTCCTTCCTTCCTTCCTTCCTTCCTTCCTTCCTTCCTTCCTTCCTTCCTTCCTTCCTTCCTTCCTTCCTTCCT